ACACCTAACAAACCTGTCTGGCACAACAATAATCAAGAATGTTCAAGAGCACTTTTTGGTAATTTTGGCTGACATGTGCAATCCTTGTAGTCAGACCGCTCAAGATCTTGCTAATAATATCCTCTTAAGCTGGGTATCAATGCACATCTGCGTCGGAACCCTAGCGACTTCATACGTTAATCGCTTGTAACTTCTTTTAGAAGATCCCGCAGCGTTACGGAAGGTAGATTTGAGATCTCAAAAACCATCTAATGTTATGCATTTGCTCAGTTTGCCACTGCGATGCGACCCTTCTCTTGTCAGAACAAGAAGATAAGGCGTCCCATCACGGCTCACCTCTCCTCGCGGAGCTGTATGCGCATACAGGTCTTACTGTTTGCGGCTATCTGTTTATAAAAACTTCCATTGATTCGATATGGCACTTAGTGGAGAGGTAAATGAATATCCGATGACCCACATAGATCCTATGGATTGATTCTTTGATTAGGTCTCAGAATTAAAGGTTTGTTGAAAAAAATTTCTTTATTGTGGATGGGATACAATAAACAAAACAACACTCGTATTTTTGGAAAATAAGACTTTCTATGATATACCACTATTTTTGGGCTACTTTGATTTGTCGTAATTTGAGCGCTCTGAAATGTATTTTTTCGAGATCAGCATCGTTCAGGTTCAACTCACAAACCTAGAAATAGCTTTAATTGGCATGACGAATAAAACAAAGGAAAATACTACCTTGGCCACAAGGAATTCTTCAGAAGTGATTTGTTGAGGTAAGTTCCTCAGCCTAGTGACAATTGAATGCAGATCCGGATACTGCTTACACTGCTCTTTTGTGCCTAGCCCATACTTGAATAACACAAGAGCAACTTTGAACAAAACTTTTGCTCCTGAACACACCCATGACAATGCAAATCACAAGCTCCGAAAGTCTCAGTACCTTCGCACAAAAACATATCCCATACTCGAAGGACAGTTGGCCATGGCAGCGTGCGACAGAAAATGCACATAAACCATTCAACCATGTAAAGAACAGGCTCCACATTATGCTTCTTCTGAAAAATCGACGGAAATGCGTAAATATACTTCACCGTCACAGAAATCTTTTTATGATGGAGGCGAGGAGGAAGGGTGCCCTCATGAAATTACTGTTAGCAACCCTACATTTTATAAGCTCAATGGTAAAAAATTGAAACGTGGTTGCGATAGAAACACTCCCCAAGATCGTTCACAAAGCTACCTCAATGCATTTTCACGGGGTGGGAGGGATGGG